GGGAAACATTTTATAATTTACATATAAAATCTCAGTAAAAAGCCATATAAAATGACAGAAGTATCTGGCTTACATTGAAACAACAAAAAAGAAAACAAAAAAACCACATACACTGAATGTATATTTTAATTATAAAACAAAAATCTGAGCAAAACATTTTAAAATAATTGTTATTTGGCAACTCATCACATCATTGCAAGAGACAAATTTGACCTTAATAAAAGTTTAATTTTATGAAAAACTTTGGTTGGACAATTTGTTCATGTGGAAGTTAAAACATGTTTAAAAAATAACCTGGCAATAAAATCAGCTTTATCCTGAAATAATTGTGTGTAAAAACAACATGAAATCCTGCAGCTACGTAGGTAGGAGTGACCTGACTGGCCATGTGCTTCCCTTTGCTGAGAGACAGGTGGGAGGAACCTCGGTAGCTTCCAAAAGCACGGAGGGGCGAACACTGCCAGGGGCCCTGCGGCAGGAGATGATGACTTTACCTAAACTGTCATGGGGGCTAGTAGTAAAGTCACAGATGCAATTGTCGTCTAAAAACAAGTTACACTCGTAAAACGCAGTCACAACTGTGAACAGAAAAGCGGTGGAGACCCTTTCTTGAGCTAAACTACTTTACTCGGTATCTGCAAGCTTCTGTATTTCCTGCTGGTCAGTCACAGGGCAAGGCAGAGCCCTACAGAAGTTGCTACTAATGACTGCATAGCATCAAATAAATATTTGTTATGTGAGCAAATAATTTTGGTGAGTAGTTTTTAAAAATAAAAAGCAAGATAAATATCTTCATAATTTATATACGTGTAATCTATTTTATACAGTTGCTTCTTTTGTGGTGCAGGAGATTGAACCCAGGGCTTCCATATTTAGCCACTTTCCCAGCCATTTTTCTTGTTTTATTTTTTTGAGACAGGGTCTTACTGCGTGGTGCAGGCTGGCCTTGACCTCACTATGTAGCTCCTCCGGCTCATAAACAGTCCTTATGCTTCCAGCCTTCCAGGTGCTGGGATTACAGGCAGATGCCACCACATTTTAAAATTTGAGACAGGCTCTCATGAAGTTGCTAAGTTGCTCACATTAGGGTTGAACATGTTATCTTCCTGCCTCAGCCTTACAGAGTTCTGGGATTACAGGTGTGCACCACCATACCTGGTTTAAAGTTGTAGTTGAATCACCAAATAGCGTTTTATATAAAATAAAACTCACCTCTTTAATATGTGTATGTTAGAGTTTTGACAGATGCATATAATCATATAACTGTCATCACAGTTGAGACATAGGGTGGGCTTCTTATCCCAGAAACATCTATTGTGTCCCTTCTAGCCAGTCCTTTGCCATGCATGTGGTAACCCCTTGATTGTTTCTTTAAAATCCTTCAAGTCTTGCATTTGTAGATGTTATATAAATGCAAGTGCATGCTATGTAATGTTTTGGGTCTGACATTTTGGTCTGGTGTTGGACGTATAGCCATGTATGTTGTATGTTTATGTATTTTATTCTTTTATTTCTTTTATTTCTGTATAATGTGCCTTTGTATGATGTACCAGAATCTGTTTCTTTGCCAGTTGAAGGATATTTGGATCATCCTTAGTTTAGACCCCCGTAAAAATTCACAGGTTTCTTTGTGAACACAGGTTTTATTTCATGTGAGTAAGTATATAGGTGCTAGGATTGCTAGCTTGTAGTATAAACAAATGTTGAACTTTTGCAGAAACTGCCAGGTGGTCTCCCAAAGTGGCTGTAAAATTTTGTGCCTATGCCAGCAATGTATGAGACTCTTAGGTGCATCAACACTTGGTCCCTTGAGTTCTGTGTTTTTTTTTGTTTTTTTTTTTGCAGAACCGGGGATTGAACTCAGGCCCTTGCACTTTCCAGGCAAGCACTTATTCTACTGAGCTATCTCCCTGGCCCCTTCAGTTCTGTTTTTAACTTCAGCTACCCTGGTAGGGATGTGATGTTTGTTGGGTGGCAGCCAACCCCTCATCCTTTTTTTTTTTTTTAAGCTGGGCATTGACCCTAGGTCTTGTACTGGCATGTGCCTTAGCCCTGTCCTCTTTTTAAGAATGTATTTGGTACAGGGTCTACAGGGTTTGTAGGGTCTCACTACACAGATCGGACTCAGGGATCCTCCTGTTTTCAGTCTTTCAGGTGCTGGGATTACAGGCACGCGTCACCATGCCCAATCTCAGTCAACGTCTCAGCACGCCTCGGGGGAGGGGCTGGTACGGCATGCTGGGGATTGAACTTTTAGCCACTGTGCTCTGCCTAAGCAGATGCTTTAGTCCACTGAGCTATCTGGCTGGCCCTCCTTAGCCTTTTTATTCTTTTATTTTTAAGATAGAATCCTGCTTGGTTACTTAGGCTGGACTCAAGTTTGCTGTTCTGCCTCAGCCTCAGGGAGCATTCCCCATCTTTTTCAGAATTTTTTTTTTCCCTAATCACTGAGTTCTTTTATATTTCAAATTCTTTATCAATGATGTGCATTGCCAATGTTTTCTTCCATTTTGTGGATTAGTTCATATTCTTAATGGTGTCTTTCCAATAGCAGAAACTTGGTTTTTTCATTAAATCCAGTTTGTCTTTTTTTCTTGTATGGATTGTGATTTTGTGAGAACTTTTTAGCCATAGTCATAAATTTTTATTTGTGTTTTCTTTCCCTGGCTCTATTCTACAATTATTTTTCTCCCTCTTTTTTTTGGTACTGGGAATTGAATTCAGGACCCTGTGTTTGCCAGGCAGACACTGTACACCACTGAGCTATATATCCCTGGCCTGCTACAAGTTTTTTTTTTTAATTTAAAAAAATTATTTATTTATGTATTTATTTGGTACAGGGTCTCACTATGCAGCTTGGACTTCTAGTGCTCCTCCTGTCTCAGCCTTCCCAGCGCTGGGATTAAGGTGTGCACATCTGGTTTCAGTGGCTGGCAAGTGCACCCAGAACCAGCACAGCATGTGGTACTGGGAATTGATTTCTTTTTAAACCCCCAAACAAGATAAATTCTGTATTAATATTACAAATAGTGTTTCATGCATTGTCCTTGAGTCATTGAAGATTTCTAACTTAAATGAGAATTTAAGTATTAAATTCATAATGGCATTAGTCACTAAATGTTTTTAACTTGAAGATCCTCATTCGTTCTGGATTTAATTATTAAAGGCCAACATTGCATCTCTTGTCCAGTGGTTCAAATGGATAAATGTGGTTTGTCCATCTGCCCAACTTTTATCGTGGTTACTGAGACTGCTCAGTTAGTTGGTAGTGGTTAGGTGTGACCTTGAGTACTCCAGATTTTATGCAGCAGAGTTGAGTTGAAAGTTTCAATGCAGTTTTTTTTTTTTGTCCTATTCTGTAGAGACTTAAAGTTTAGCATATCAATACTTTATGAAAAATACCTGTTCCATGTTATACCTAAGGTGTTTGATATTCAGACAGATAGTGAGGTTAAGCTCAACAGTCTAGGTTATATGGCAGTAACAGTAAGCTTCTCTTCTGGAGGGTTAACAACCTAAGTTTGCAGACCAAAAATTAGAGAAAAAGGAGGGCCACAAGGAAAGCCAACATTTTGGCCCTAGCCTTCCAACGTCAATTAAGACTCAAGACATATGAGAACCTCTACTGTAACATCATGTAACTCAGTTGTGTCCCAAATTTTCTGATTAAGGAGATTATGGGGCCAAAGAGGAAAGTGATCAGTGATGTAGAGTGTGCCTAAGAAGAGTCACATGGAGAGAAAACATTCTCTCAGGCTTTCATAGAGAGCACATTGGCCAAGCAATGGCCGTGACTCATCCACACGGCTGACACTGACAAAGGATCTACAGTCTGAGGTACAGGGTCTCAGGATAAATCCTGAGGGGATTTCACTGACCTTTTCAGATCCAAAAGCTACACCTCTTGTTACATAGGTCTTGCTTTATCTTGGTCTTAACCATTCAGCAGAAAAGTATAAAAATGAAGTATAAGAAATAAAGCCATGTTGTTATGTTGAGCTGTAGGGGACTCAGGTCAACAACTTCTGACATTGCCAGTCAAGTGGAAGACCAAATACTATTACAGACTACTGGACTATTTTGCAATATTTTGCTGAGTTCACACACCTATAATATTTAAATGATGAAACTAAACAAGAAAAGGGGATATAGATGAATGTCCATTTTGTATCTGTGTATTCAAAATGGTTAGGATAGATATATAGCTACATTCTCTTAATTCAAGGAATAGAGAGGTTTGTTCTAATAGTGTTTGTAAATAGGATATCGTTTCTGCATCTTGTACAACAGACAACCACTAGGAAGGCAGTATGCAATGTGTTAATGATTGGAACTGTCCTACCAATTTGATTTGAAACGGTCTCATTGCTATTTATTTGTCAATAAAATTATGGAAAAAAAGTTTTGATGCATATGTAAAATGAGTAAGTGTGATAGTAAATTTTGAGCACTATATTTTTGCAATATTCTTTGTATGACTCCTTGTGGACCCAGCTTTTATGCATTCATGGGGTTCCCACAGTGCAGTTGCAATATAGACCGTTCTGTAAATGCAGGTAAGAGAACAGATTGTCAGAGGGTTTCCTCCCTCTTCTCAAAGACCCTCCCTTTTTTAACCCCTCTGCTTCAGCTCTCTTGTCACTTCTCCATGCCTGTCTCTTGTTTGCTGAATGTTCTCACTTGGGAGTTTTGGTGCTCTGCCTATACCAGGTCCTCAGCTGGTTAAGGATAAATGGGGCCAAGTAGAGGTAAAGCGAAGGTACAATTTGGAAACTGGCAAGTTGTGGTGGTACATACACATAATCCCAGCTGCTAAGGAGGCTGAAGCAGGAGGATCTCAAGTACAAGGACAGTCTGCAATTTAGTGAGACCCTGTCTTAACACTTAGGAAAAAAGGGCTGGGAGTCAATGCTATAGTGTTTACCTTGTTTGTGCAAGACCATGAGTGGGGGTGCATTGAAGGGTGACTGCCTTGGATAAAGAAGTTAGGAGCTGGATTGTATTAGGAAAGTGTATGGTTCAAGAAGTGCTTGCAGTTGGCATCAGCTGTTGAAATCTGAAGAGCAAAATAGGGTGAAATTGATGAGTATGCACAGGTACAGACATGACATTAGAAGTAATGTATGTGTCTATTCATACTATAGCTTGTTTGTAGTTATAGATTTCATAAACTTATTTTAAGACAATAATTAACTTTTTTTTTAAAAAAAAAAAAACAATGATTTTTTTTTTTTTTTTTTTTGGCGGAACCGGGGATTGAACTCACACCCTTGTGCTTGCCAGGCAAGTGCTTATTCTACTGAGCCATCTCCCCAGCCCCAGTAATTAACTTTTGAGATGAGTATTTTTTATTGGATAAAGATATATTTGATTTGGAAATATGTCATCAGACTTTGCTGAAATAGTTTTCCTTTAGACATATTTCTTTGCTACCTTAATTGTATTATTTCTATTATTATTATATTATTATTATTTTAAATAAGATTGTGTATCAGTTTTCTTTTTCCTTTCTTAGTGTCATTCTGACCTTGTTTAGTTTCCAGTGTTGAGTGGCTGCTTTTTTTTTTTTTACAGGAAAGGGATTGTCTTAGTTCATTTTATGCTGCTATTACAGACTACTATAGGCAAAGTAATTTATAAATGGTAGAAATCTGCTTCTCTCTGGGCTTCTGTATAATCTGATATTGCAGAGGCAAGTCTGTCATCTCAGCATTCTAGGAGGCTGAGACAGGAGGATTACAAATTCAAGGTCAGCAAGGGCAACCCTGAGTTCAGTCTGCAGGACAGCCAGAATGAAACTGAACCTCGCTATTTCTGTAGGAAGATGGGGAGTGCAGTGGCAAAAGCCATGTATCTCTTTATCTGGGGTGGCTTTTCTTCCTGTGTCCTGTGTGGAAGGCATTACAGGGCAGGAGTAGTGAGCATAGGAGAGAGAGAAGACCGCAGGCAAGTGAGTTCACCCTCTACTCAGGCACTGACTCTCTTCCTGTAAACACAGCAGTTGTCACTGCTTCAGAGTCCCAGCTTCCTGCTGTCATCTGGGGAGCAGTTTTCCAGCAAAGAGATTTGGGGGACAGTCAAACCATAGCAAAGGCCAGGAATTTTAATTAATCGTGGTGATTTTGGAAACCCCATAAACGATTGGTAAAACTCTAATGTTAGCTAGTTATCTATTTAGATATTTAACTTTTCTAAACTCAGTCATTTTCATTTATTTCTTGTTTTTTGTTAAATTTTAATTTTTATCAATACATGTTTGCAGTATACAATGATGACATTCATTGTAGGGAACTGATACATGTTTGTAACATATCTCAATTCCTTTTCCCCATTTCTTCCACCTCCTTTTATTTTTACCTTTCTGCTTTTTCATTTTAATGCAGTACCAGCTGATACCTTTCCTTTTGTGGTGATTCTCAGATAGCAAAACATTAGGCCAAATACTGTTATTTTTCATAACTTTATTGTGATTTGGGTAGTACACATATACATTTCTTCATCTTAGACCTTTTCTTTGTGTGTCTCTCCAGGCCATCCTGTTCAATTCTACAGTATGAACAGGCCTGCCTCTCGCCACATGCCCCCGACCATAGGGGGCTCCCTGCCCTACCGACGCCCTCCCTCTGTAACCTCACAAGCCAGCCTTCAGAGCCAGATGAATGGTGGACCTTTTTATAGCCAGAATCCAGGTGAGTTTTTCTTTTGCATTTTATGTAATATATCTGTTTAAAAATCTTTCGTTAAAAAACCCTTTAATGACAAATAATTGGCACATGGTAGGTGGTAATGCTGAAGAGGCAGAATGAATGAATACTTGCATTTAATATTGTGTCTTTCATCTCTGTTCTTAAAAAATCATTTCATGATTTCCCTATAAAATTGTAGAAGTTAATTTTTCTGAGCAGAATAGCAGAATCCTTTTTTAAAGCAGAATCCTTTTGAATGTGCTGTTGGTTACGTGCTTTTAAAAATAATACTGTGGAGATAGAAGGGTAGATCAGTTGCAGAGTAATAGTCCAGAATGGGCAAAGCCCTGAGTTGGAATCCTAGATGCCTCCCCCAGTAAAAACACCACAGAGAACTATGGTGAGCAATACTTCTTTTTTATTTAATGATACATCCTGTTCTGTGGTTTACAGATAATGAAAATTGAGTGTGCCCGAAGCTCTTTTGTGCTAGTCAGTTACATTACCTTATTTGGCTCTTAAACAAAATTTCTGGTGGAAAAACTGGGCCTTAGAGAAATTGACCCAGATGTAACAAATTATAGCTTCATCATTCATACAGAGAAACTAATCTGACATGTACTTTTTTTTTGTGGTAACAGGAATTGAACTCAGGACCCTGCGCTTGGCAGGCAAACACTTATTCTACTGAGCTATCTCCCAAGCCCGTTGACATGTATTTTATGCTATACACGTTCATTATTTTGCTTATTCCATGCTATACTTTTTAGAGTTTTGCCAAGAGCCTGTTAGTTTGGCTGGCCTCAAACTTGCAGCCTCCTGAATGCAGGGGTTATAGGTATGTGCCATCACTCTTAGCCTTACATGAACATTAATAATTTATAGAAAATACTTCTGTATCATTTCATTTGATTTTTGTAATTCATATACAAAGCAAGATTGGTGATCTTGCCTCTAGAGCCTTTGTGTGGTCACCTCTGATTTATAGTTTGGCCTATTCCATGTTTGACTTTTTTTTTTTTTTTTTTTTTATTTATTTTTTTTTTTTGCGGAACCGGGGATTGAACTCAGGCCCTTGTGCTTGCCAGGGAAGCACTTATTCTACTGAGCCATCTCCCTGGCCCCATATTTTTTTTTTTCCCAGAACCAGGAATTGAACTTAGGCCCTTGTGTTTGCCAGGGAAGCGCTTATACCACTGAGCCATCTCCCTGGCCCCCCATATTTGACTTTTATGGGGCTGAAATTAGCCTACTGTGGCTACTGGCTATGAAACTTTAGCTATGTCCTTTGGAATCTTGCTAAAGAAAAAAATTTGATCTTTCTTTTACATAAGCATTTATTTATTTATTTTTGGTCTTTTTGTTTTATTGTGTAGTTCTGGCTGACCTTGAACTCACTTTGTAGCCCAGGCTGACCTTGAACTTGCAGCAATCCTCCTGCCTTAGTCTCCTGAGTGCAGGGGATATAGGTGTATGCCACCACTCCTGGCCTTACCTGAACATTTATAATTTAAAGAATGCTTTTGTATCATTTTATTTGATTTTTGTAACTCATGAACAAAGCCAGATTGGTGATCTTGCCTTGTGCTGTCTTGGTTTATGAACTTAATTCATTCTATGATTCTGGGGAAGATGGCTATCGTCATGCTTATCACACAATGCAGAGGTGACAGAGAAAAACACAGTTGTTCCAAGGGCACATCTGTTTTTTGAATCAAATTGTCTTAAAATGAAAGTGTTTGTGAACCAAAGTACTATTGTGTTTTGCAGGTGAAACCAAGTCAGGATGGTATTTCATCTTAGGTTTTTTACTTACCTAAGTCTCACTTACCTTCAGTTTTTCAAACTTTTCCTCTTACCCTCTCAGGTGTTTTCTTTTTTGGTGGGGAAATGCTGAGTACATTAGGAGCCTGAGATCTTTTTATGGATAGTAGTTATATTCCAAGAATATTGTTCAGTAATTGTAGGATGTTAAATAAAGCTTTTGTTCCATCATTTTTTCTAGTGCTGGGGATCAAACCCAGGGCCTCACACATGCTAGGCAAATGCTCTACCACTGAGCTGTAGACCCACTCTGTAAAATTGTAGGAGGATTTTTTTGGCTAGTTCAGGCTGCCTTAAGGGCGGGACTTGTGCAGCTTGTGGAGCTGGGGATCAAACCGCGGTCCCCTGTGCCTGACTGCGTTTGCCAAAGCAGGGGCTTTAAACAACTGAGCTAACCCGCAAGCACCCCCAGTGGCCTTATTTTGAAATGTACCCTTTACTCCTTTCTTACTGCACTTAATGTTTTAGGCTATCTCCTTTTAAAAAACTCATTTAGCCCAAATTTTGATTAAACTGCTTGCCACTGGTCAGACATTCTGCTTTTAAAAAATATTTTCTAAGCCCATATGTTTTTAAGCGGTATTTTGTACATAAATGCATTTATTGTTTTTGAAATGGAGTCTCTTTCAATCTCCAACTCAAGGGCTTAAATGCTCCCCCTGTCTCATCCCCTGAGTAGCTTGGGATTACAAGCCCAACTTTTTTTTTTTTTTTTGCGGAACTGGAGATTGAACTCAGGCCCTTGTGCTTGCCAGGGAAGCGCTTATTCCACTGAGCCATCTCCCCAGCCCCCAAGCCCAACTTTTGAGAGAATTTTTTTAGTCTTAAATTTTACATTCTAGCCTGTTCCATAATTCTGCTGCAGATGGACTTACTCCTTGGCTGACTTGGAGTCTACCCTAGTACTGTTTGTGGGCCTGTATACCCTCCTTATTCTTAGGGAGAATTTGAAAGAATGGTGCCAGTCCAAAATAGGTTGGGTCCATAACGACACTGAGAGCTGTTTTTCTGTCACCTGCTTGAGACTCGAGCTGTACCATCATGACATCAGGCCTTAATTCATGCTTTGCGTGTGCTCACCACAGTAGTCCAGGGAGAATTTACATTAAGGCTGTTTAAACACATATTCAGTACTTTCCTGTGTTATCTGACCCACACACGTTAAGGTATTTGCCAATGTAGAAATATATTCTACTTTATGGAATGATTTTAACAGAAGTACTTTTCACACTCATGGAAGTAAGATGAATTTGGATTTTGAGGCCTTCAGTCTAGTGTGAGGCAGTGTAGTTGTGAGTTTTACTTTTCTGCACCCTTCTCTATTAAATTTTGCCTTTCTTTAGGACTTCGATAATTTTTTAAAGAGGGTAATTACAGTTGTAATTGGTTAATCAGAATGCTTTTTACTAAACCAGTTTGTGTGTGTATGTGTGTATGCATGTGTGCTTTTCTGCAGTTCTGGGGATTGAACCTGGATCCATCTGCAGGTTAGGCAGGTATTCTACCACTGAGCCACACCTTTAGCCCCAACCATGTTCTTTTTCTTTGAAAAACTCTTTTTGTGAGATTCAGTGTTTTGTGAAGCAGTGTTCTACTAAGACTTTTAGATACAGCTTCATTTTATTTGCTTTAGAATATTATGTATTCTTATATTACTCTAATATTACTCCTATTGATCCTTTAATGCTCCCTGTTTTTCAGTATTTAAAATGAGTTTATTTTTGCTTTTATAAGTAATTGAAACTCTTATTGAACCACAGTCATGGTACTTAACATCTTCATTTCCTTATGTTGTTACCTCTTGTGTGTGGGGAGGTAAGAAGATATTCTTAAGCCCTACTCTTTTTCCAGATTCCAGGTATATGATACAGCTTTATTAACTGTAGTCCTCACACTTCATTGAATTCTGCAGAACTCAATTATATTATAATTTACAGTGTGTTTGCTTTGACCAACACTTTTTACTTTCCGATCCCTCCTGGCCCCCTGGAAATCACCATTCTCTTTTTTCTATGTGATTCCCATTTTAAAACCCCACATACATGGTAAAGACATGTGGTATTTTCTTTCTCCAGAGCACATTAGCCTCCACCTCCTCCCTGTCCACCACAGGGTCACTTCTCAGATGCCTTGTCATGGGATTCTTGGACTTCATGAACAGTGAGCTAATTGCTGTATCCAATACCCCTCCATCTCTGGAGAACCCTAAGTAACCATACCATACCATTTTTTTTTAATGTATCAGTTATTTAATTAGGTTCTTAGTAAGAAATTTAGAACACTAATTTATGAGGATAAATTCCATTTGTCAGAGCAAAAACAGATTGCAGGTAGCCCCGAAGCTAAGGAACAGCTTTGATTTTTGCTAAAATCTGTGAGTGTACCACTTTCTGATCTGCTGTCCTGAAATCTGGCATATCTCTTTCTCAGTGTCAAAGATGTCACCCTCCTGATGTCTGGGTTTCCGTAGCACAGGATGGGAAAGAGCTCACCCAACTTCTTACACTCTCTTCTTGTACACAGCAAAGGCAGACCAAACTGTTCATCCTTTTCCTTCCTTGTTCTCTAGCATTAGTTGGAAAGGTTCAGATTTTATTTGTACAGGGTTGCACTCCATACCTCGTACCCTAGTGATCCTCCTGTTTTCAGCCTCACCACTGCTGGGATTACAGGCGTACACTACCACGTGATCTTGGTGGCCAGATTGGTGAACCTGGGTGCAAGGCCAGTGCAATATGTGGTGCTAGGGATCGAACCCTGGTTCCTGTGCTTGCCTAAGTAGGCATTTAGTTCGTTGAGCTATTTTGCAGGCTCTTACACACTTTCTTTTCTTTTTTTTTGGTGGAACTGGGGATTGAACTCAGGCTCTTGCACTTGCCAGGGGAGCGCTTATTCTACTGAGCCATCTCTCTGGCCCACCTTACACACTTACTGAACATTTTATACTGTTAAACTTTCTAAAGTATATGTTGTTTTCCAAGCTGTCTTTTTCTTAGAAATAAGTGTACTCTCCTTTTCCAGACCTTTAAAAAAAAGAAAAGAAATTCTTATTTAACAAAACAATGCCAAGAATGCATTTTGTGAGCCTGTATTTTGCGTTTGGAGCCTGGCCATAGATGCATGCTTGTAAAGAAATGAGCTGAAAAGTCAGATATATAATATATATATATAATATTTTG